CTGAGTTTTGCACAAAAGTGTGTGAACAACTACTCTTTATTATTGAAAAATGGCTTGACCGTATGTCACTTAAGCAGCTTAAGAAATCATAACCCGTAACTATAGCGTGGCTGTCACTAATGAACTACAGAAGATGAGACATCCTTAAGGAAAAAACGAAGTAGTTCAATTAATGCAAGAGTAGTAGTATTTTCTATTCTCCATCTTTGCTACAAAATCATTTACCTGGAAGCACGAAGCTAAGTAAAGGCCGACAAAGGAATTTCAAGGAGGCGTTTTATCTTAAGACTAAACATCCGACTCGTCCCCAATCGTCTTCGCGTAACGCGCGCGCCGGGAGCAAGGAGTGATGGGAAGGGAAAAGGGAGGAAGAAGTTTCCTCCTTCCCATCACACCCCTCGTGCCACTAAGGAGAGACAGAGAGAGACAGACGACTGGGGACGAGTCAGACTAAACATGTAAACTTATACGCCCACGCTGACACAATCTCTTTGTCCCCCTCCAAGGAAATGGTGAAGTGTGAATCGATTCTACTGAGTACGTCGCAGTGATACTTTTTTACTTTAGCATCATTATGGCGAGTTTGTTTGCGCCGGCTCCAAATCGGAACCTCCACCTCACGGCAAAACCGAAATCAAAATGGAAATAACCCCGAATGAGTTGGGTCCTCTCAGTCTCTTCGAAGGAAAACATGATAGCAACTTTCTTGGGGACATTACTGGATAACGACACCGAAAGGCGAATACCTAGTTCTTAACAGGCTTCATGGTGGCCGTGCCAAGGAGCTCGGGCAGTACTGGTCGGTTGATAAACGCCCTGGAAGATTGGTGGATCGCTTGGACCTTGCTGTTCAACAGTACTGGAATAGCATGGAGAAGGAAGCTGCTCTGATTGTACCCAAAGGAGTTTTACTCTACGAAGGCTTTGCCGCAGCTCAGGGTACGTTGCTTGGAGGTGGAAGTCAAGTTTTTATCCCGTATAACGTCGTAAAGGCGTTACAGCATTGGCAGACTAAGAAGCACGAGTACGACACGAAGGGAACCAACAAAAGAGAACTGCTCGAGGCTGAGCAGAGATGGCGAGAAGCTCAGCGGGAGATCCTTAAACGATGGAACTTAAAACGCTTGGAGACGATTCACTCCGATGTTCACAACACTGCCTTAAAAGGAAGCCACTTTCGTTCGCTATCACCCCAAATCCAGAAGTTCATGCGCAATGCTAGAAATGGCAGTAGTTTATTAAGCAGTGGTAACATTCAAGAAGGAACCTATAAAGTGCATGAAGAGCGTTTACAATTTTTTGATGGTTTCTCCCCGATGGTCTCGTTGTCTGTTAAGATAGAGTTCGTGAAAACAACAACTCGCACTTATAAGTCCGGAGACACCATTGTCGTGGAAACGACACATCATTACAACATGATCTACATCTGGAGTTAGGATATGTATATAGGAAGGATGTAATGGGCCAAAGTCCATAATCAAGGTGCATAGTTCGTGATCAGTGTTTCAGACGAACTTGGCAGAGTTAACAAGTTTGTTAGAGTTAATGAAATTAGAGCTGCAAAACAAGTTCTGTAACAATCAGCGTTTTGGAATAGATTCTTATCCTACGAATTTAGATTTATTGGCCTTTAGGTTTGCATTGTTCATGCTAACTGTTTACAGTTTTATGTATTAATTGTTATTTGTCATATCGGATTCGCTCCAATAATTAGATTTGGCTACATTAAGCAGGAAAAGCTTTTGGTAATTATTCAGGGTATCAGTGAAACCCTGACTCGGGGTCCACTGTTCACTTGTTTCTTTTTCTGGTTCATGTTTTGTTTGGGGAAATCAACAGAAAACATAGCCTTCGCGCAGACGAAATTAAACTCTGGTTAACTCCTAATCAGAGTTTAGTTATCGTCTGCACGCAGGCTACAGAAAACAAAGCAATGGAACAGTGGACCCCGACCTCGAGTCGGAGTTTTACTAATTACCATAATTATCTGTTTTCACATTTTGTGCTCTTCAGAAAAAAGCCCTTAGGGCTTATTTCATTTCATTGTTTACGGGACGCAATTGACCGTCAATTTCGAGACAGTGGCTGTAGTAATATCGGAAAATAACAAATGAACGTAACTGCAAAGGAACGCTAACGAATATGCTGCAGAACGCAGGATCTGTAGGAGAATTGATCAGCAAAAGTATACCAAGTAGACAGCTTTGCAGATTTCAATGTGTTTACTTCTGTAGTAGCCCTCAGCCTTGCCTGGCTTATAGCTGCTTATGCATGGTCACAAAATACATTGCCCAACAAACTCTGGCGGTGATCAGATAGGGAGCTTCCAAACAGCCTTTCACTAACACTTGGTGCTGGCGATGAAGATACTTTCCCAAACATCCATCGTCTTCTGGTAACCGCCTGCACCATACCGATCACAAGCGCAGAAGCTGAGCGATCGTTTTCACTGATGAAATGAATCAAGACCTGCTCTAGGTCAAAAATGCCTGAAGAGCGATTCTGAAATCTCGCAGTAATCGCCATGTACTACTCAGAGAGATTCGAGGAAGACGAAATATGCCGGCAGGCCTTTGTAAAGGCTCATCCAAGAAGGCTCGTTCAAGCTAGTCTGTTTGATTCATAAATAGGCGGGTAAAAAAGAGACAACTAACGTTGTTGCACTGTACTCTTAGTCCTTAATAATAGTGTCTCAAATTTGACAAATTTATACCTCTGAAATCAAAATGACGAAAATCTACATACTCAAACATTACCCTCCCCTCTCCCTCCCCCATTCCTTTGGCCCTGGGACGTTTGCCTTGAACTCTCATACTTACAACCCCCTCTTTGAAAAAATCCTGGATCAGCCCCTGTTTAGCCAACCTCGTTCCCAGGGTACTCTTTTAGGAGAGAGACATGGGAACGAACGAACTTTGGTGAGCAACGTATTGACTGAGCTCACCCTGGTAACCAGTGGAGGTTTTAAAGCTATAATAGAATTAAGTCAATCTTGTTAAAGGGCTATAATTAGTTTTACTATAATGTGTCCGTCTCCATTCTAAATTTTCTTGCTAGCCTTATGTACACCTAGTTTAAACAACCTTCTACTAATTAATGTTGTACAACTGATGTATTATCTATAGAATGGAGTAAATAAAATACAAATACAAACCAGTGGAGGTGTGGGGAACTAGCAACCCGTACCTAATACTAAGGGCTAGAAAAATACAAAGCACAAGGCTCGTCCACTCAACTTGACATGGCAGCCTTCACTAAAATCTCGGTTCCATGGCATCCCTTGTAAATCAATAGGTTATTAATAAGTATTTTCCTGTCCCCTTCCCCAATAGCTACCAGTAGATATTAAAAAGGCCTAAGGAAAAATATTGCCAGTGACTTAAAGGAGCTGTGTCACGAAATTCAGCCAAATTAGGAAATTACGAAATGCCCGTTAAATTAAGAGAAACATAAAAATAACCGCTTAAAACTTTAAAGTAAGGTTAAAATAACATAACAGAAACGACAGATGCCACGGATGGGCAAAACTGAAGAAGATTGAAACGGATTGAAATTAGGGTTTTTGAAAACTGTTCAGCCTGACAGTTTTTCAAAGTTGGCCCTTGCTGCTTGCAACCTCAAAAATAATGCTCAGGAGACATATTCGTTTGTCATGGATCTCTGATTTTGTCATTTACATGTAATTTGTTTGCTTACTTTAAGTTCCATAGCGATTGACGGCGAGTAATTGGCAAAATTAAACAAAATGAACTGGACTGCCGTGACACAGCCCCTTTAACTCGGGTAAAAGCTAGCGCGACTTGATCTAGTCTTTGCAGGGACTTTGCTACACCTAGTTGGATGAGAAGGCAGAATTGTGCTTTGACTGTCCAAAGAATAGTAGAGGCAGCGTGGACGAGCGGTTAGAGCGCTGCACGTGTAATCCTGAGGACCCGAGTTCAAGTCCCGCCCTGACCGCTAGCTGGATTTGTTCCCCGTAGTCCCGAGTTCGAATCCTCGGCCACGCTTGTAAATAACCAACTGGTTTGCCTCCTACCAGTTGGGATTCTTAAACACGTTATGTTCTAATTGAATTATTGTTTCATTATCCCTGAAAAGCCCGGTAAGGGGAGTGGATAATTAAGTATTTACTTTTATTATTATTTATAAGAATGAACATTGTGTGCAGTTTTCAGTTGCTAAAGGTTTAGGTGTTCCGTTCCCACGGAACCACCTTAAACGTACGAAAATTTAGACGCCCCGGGGGAGGGACTTCCATATGAAAGGGGCGGGGATGCTCGTCGTTTCGCTTAGGGGTGTAAATTTCAGATTTTGGTCTCGCTTAGGGTGTTCTGGGTAAAACACCATTATATTTAGCCGTCAAGGTCTCTTTTAGGGTTGCACTCGAAGAAATATTAAAAAATTGTATATTTTCAATTCGTTTTATTTACTCTATTCATGCAATCAAAGTTTAAAATGATCGCTGTTAGGGGTCAAAAAAAGGTTGGACCACGCCCAGATTTGTCTCCTTTAGGGGTTTAATTCAAAATTTCCGACGAGTATCCCCGCCCCTTTCATATGGGAGTCCCCCCCGGATTAGACGCCCAGCCGTTCAAAGTTCCGTGAGAACAGAGCGAAAATATTGAACGGTCCCGAGTTAACGAAGTGGCGTGGCAAATTTTTCAACCGGTCGAAAATTCGTCTGCTGCCGGGTGAACGTAGCCTAAGAGTTCAACAGTGATAAAGAAAGGCACACACTGACGCGACACAAATGAAACCTTCTAACATCTCTGCAGAGCTCTAAAGTCTCACGGTTTTGAGGGCAATCTCACGGTCTCACGATAAGGCACAAAAATCTCACGGTAAACAGATTTAGGTCTCTTTGACGCAGTCGTTAAATCTCCAGGTTTTAAGTCCCAAATCTCCAGTTTTCTTCACCTTGATTTCCAGGTTTTTGGTCTATTGGAGTTGAGAGATCTGTCACTGTCGTCCTTAAAATTTGCCTCACATTCGAATAATTCTCATTTAGGTTGGTATAGAACTTTGTATGAACCCAGATAGTTTCGTTTAGTGCTGTCGAGTAACAAATTTGTACCAAAAATGTTCAGTTTAAAACTTCCAGGCTTTGGCAGCTCACAACTCATCGTGGTCTTGTTGTCAGCGGTCTGTGACGGAAGAGAATAACCAATCTGCTTGTTGTGCGCATCAAACAGGAATGACTGGACAGAAATGGTACTGGGATGTGAAAGTGTTACGGTCACGTGACTGTCATAGGACAAAATGTTCTCGAAGTGATCTACCAGTTCCAGTCCCCACTCTTTGAACTCATCCTTGAGGTAAGGGAAGCCTGGGTTTAAGCTAGCTGCTTGATCTGCCTTGATGACTAACGAACCCAGGTACTCGCTATCTTTGCCGCCGGGTTTTCTACCAAAAATGTTGAGCTGAAATTCGCCGGTTTCTGGCGCGTGTACCAGAACTGTACTGACGCCGCCTGATGTCGTAGTAAAGCACAAACCGTTGTCTAGATATTGACTTCCTTTCATCAAGTTGCCACTGAGGAAAATTTCATCCGGGGTCTTTATTTTGACAGAGGCGCGTCCATCCGGGACATGGATGTTCTCTCGAGGCTCGATAAGCTCCAGACCCCAAGCGTCAAAGCGATCGGATAGTCGAGGAAAGCCTGGGACTGGTCCTACGCCAGCGAGTGCAGTGATATAGTAGCCACAAACAAAGGTATTAGAACGTCCCTCCTCAGTGTGCTTTGCGAATATTTTCAAAATGTACTCGCCAGGAACCGGGCAATGAACTTGAACCTGATAACCCTTGTTCGTCTTTTCCGTCCAATAAAACGTAAAGCCGTTAAACTCTTCCTTAAGTTTCTTGTCTTTTCCTTCAAGTTCTAAATTGCCACTGACGCCTGAAATCTGCGAGTTGTAGTTCTCTAAAGAGATGCACGCTTTTCCATCTTGCGAGACGACGTTCTCGAACGGATGATCAAGGTAAAATCCCATTTCGTAGAATTCGTTTCCTAGCCGAGGAAATCCCCCTCGACCTTTTTCCACGCCTTTACCGGCGTTGACAAGATATTCTACTCCATGTTTCCACGTATTATTTGAATCCGCGTCCCTTACGTACAGACACAACTTGAATTTGCCGGGGGTGGGAAACTGCGCTCTTAGTTTAACTTTGTTCACCCCACAAGGAATTATTTGCGTCCACTTTCGTCCTTCGAGCTCTTTCCCCGAGGTATCTTTTAGACCACCTCGCAGTATTTTCAAAGAAGGCGAGTAAAACATCATGTCTATGTTATCCGCATCCTTGATGGTGTAAATGCTTTCTTTGTGGCTTAACAGCTCGACTCCCACCTCGTGAATCCTTCCAGAAGGCACGACCAACCTTTCGAATTCCTCTTTGCTGATTGGCTGGTCAAGGAACTGCCATTGCTCATCCGCTGGATAATGACTACAGATAGCGTATTCTGGATCCATTAGGAACATAGCAACGTTGGGGCTCCGATGAAATAGCAAATCGTTCCCCAAATAACCAGCCCCCCATGTAGGCTCGCAGATGAACCATTCACGGTTGACTTGAATTGCGTTCCACGCATGATTTGTGTTTTTAAACTGCTGACCGGGCTCAAAACCATAACCTTTGGCATAACCTGAAATGGTATGAACATGCAATCCCGCCGCTTTAGCAAGACCTTCAAAGAGGTTTGCATAACCTGCACATACGCTAGTTCTATGCTTCAAAACGCTGCTTGCGTCACCCTTTTTCTTCTCAGCTCTACCAAAGAACCCTTCGACGTCATAAGCGACATTAAAGCTCAACCAGCGAAAAATCGCGTACGCCTTGTGTCTTTCTCCTGACCAGGGATGAGTCAAATACTGGCTAAGCCTCTCGACGCTTTCCGTCTCCTCCTCTGGTGTCGACAGCACGTGCGCGTCGATCTTCTTTTCGACTCCTGTACGTTGTTGAAATCTCTTAAGCCGAATTCTTGCGAGAAACCGGCGCATGCTCGTTTGGATAAAAGTAATTGTCTGAGGCGAAACACTCGATGTCTCAGTAATAGCATTAATGTCTGTGTGATGAAAAACTGATGAGGGACGAACAAACAAGCCATGCCTTGGCTTACAAACAAAACGCTGAACACCTTGGAAGCAGCCATCATGCCCCTGAGGGTGACTTCGGTCGAGCTCAATTCCGATCCATTCACCGTCGCCTAGATCGCTCAATTCACCAATAGACTTAACTGTTCCCACATATCCCGACACGTGAACTCTATCTCCGACGGAAAACCCATGTTCCTGATTATGGCCGCTAGCTTCTGTTAAAGGCTGCTCCGCGAGAGCTTCTGTTACCGGCCTGTCATTGTTGTTGTCAAGCGAGTTCGGTGTAGCACTAACATTTCCATTCGCTTCTGTCTCTCGAATGCTCGGCTTATCATGATCTTCGTTTGAGGTAATAACTGCTGTCTCGACAGATCTCGATGTTCCACAACCCATTATTACCGGATAAAATCGCAAATATTTGATTTTCTTGTCCCTACCTGACAAATGTGTTTCTTCCTGCCGGTTCACAATCGTGATTTGATTTTAAATGAACGCCGCAAGATCATAAATTTACGCTCTACAAATGGACCGTTGCTAATGACAACAAATGATTTACCATGCACGAGAAAAGAATGGGTCCATAAACCTTATTATCAATGGATTAACAATTTTACCTCATGGTAATTCAAAAAGATAAAAATAAAATCTTTTTAAATTGCCTATATAAATATATTTTTCTCTGAAATAAGCGCGGTTTTTTATCCTTCTTACACCTAAAAATTTGTATAACAAAGAAATTTCTATCGCCACAATAGTTGCGCGTTGCCAAGCCGTTATTTTTTTCGAGCTTTCTGCTAGAAAGTTTGGCAAACCACCTCTAAATCTTTCGACAGTGAATAACATCTTTTAAATTTAATACTTTGAAAACAATCGATTTTATAGTGGCTCTTAAAACGAGAAATCCAGGTTTTCTTGAATTAGTTCTTCAGTTAATGGCGTACATCTATACCGCATGTAATAGAAAAGAGAACTCTTTCATTTTAATGACGCCACACTTAATCTTTCATTCTAATTCACGCGTCAACGATTCTTTGGAGGTGATGTTGTTTTACAGATGTTATTAACATTAGAATAGTAAACAGAAAGATAATCACCGTGACAACAATATAAACATATTTATTTAACTCGGGCATAAAACAAAGGAAAGATACCGGTTCTAGGCCGCGTACTTTAAACCAATAACGTCATCGACCATCGGCTATGGAATATCTACATCAGTTTAAGATGTGACGGAGCCGAACGAAAAGCTATCCGCAGGAGCCTGCTATCCGATATTGTATGAACAGTAAAGCCACAGAATTGGAACAAGTCGTTCCAAATGACATCGAACATCGGGCCAAAAATCCAGAATCTCACTCTTGAATATTTACTTCTACCTCAGTGCGACCCTCCCGGGGGCTTCCTAGTAATAGGCCAATGGGGATGTGCTGCTGGATGGGGTCGCATTTTCAGGGCTGGATTGACTATAATGGGGTTGCATTTTCATTAGCGTTACTAGAATGGGATCGCACATTTTCGGGATTTGGGGAATCAGACAATTCGGGTAGGTGAGGATTTAAAAATGGGAAGATTTTTACTTCATTTTTTTTAAGTCATCATTTCAGGATGACCTGGTTAAAAGACTTTATAAGGTAGACGCATAAACAGAAAGTTACTAAGTTGGCATCGCCAAAATTACATTTCCCCAAAAGTGACTAAGATGGGGTCTATATCTGGCCACAGAATAGACTATAATAAACCAGCTGGAAATACCCAGCAAAAATTAACCCAAGTAACCGCCCCCTCCCCCTCCCGGGAGTGGGATACACTCCTCGTTCCTACTTGTTCTCTTCCGCTACGGTCCGAATACCTGTTCACTCTACACCAAAGTGTGGCAAAGAACATATCCCATATGTGACGCTCCACTTTCCAGATCGGCGGGGCGTAGCTTCCGCACCGTTACCCAAAAGGGGGCACAACTTTTTCCAGTTAAACCCCATGTGCATCTTAATGCCATGTATCCGTAGCAACAGAGGACAGGAAACAGAATTTTCAGTGCCTACACGGTCTAAATAACAAACTGTGACCATTTATTTAATTTTTTACGCGAAGACAAGCTTTAGCTCTTAAAAAGATAGCAAATAGCTTGATATAGCGGAAAAAAGCCACATTAAAAATAAAACATTAACAGGAAAATTTTCCAAGTAACTTAAACAAGAGATAACGTAAAGATTGGCTGATGCTTTCCATGCCATTGCTTTCGTAGTTATCCCTAGCACCTGGTCCTTAATTGGGAGTAATCATTTGATTGCCTGGCATCGTATCCAGGGGATAGGGGTAGGGGAGATTGTTGTTTGGCCATGTGGGTCGATATGTGGACTGGGACGAACCGATTCAATTTTTAAACTAAATTTTCTTAATACTAACAAACTTTCTGAAACAGACTTCACCTAAGATCATTTGAACAAAGAATTTATTATTTACAACAATGTAACAAAAAAGGAATGCAAGTTTTAAGTACCTGTACAAGTTCGACTTGAAAGACAAGTGTAGTGTAATTGTCATATACTGCAAAACCGTGGTCATGTTCACTCTATATCGAATAGGTTTTCGCCCTAGCCTGCGTAGCAGGCCCAAGAAAGAACGGGCGCGCGAGAGGGAGACACGCGAGGGGTCTCGCGTGTCTCCCTCTCGCGCGCTCGTTCTTTCTTGCGTCTACTACTTCCAAGCGCCTAGGCTATTCGCACCGGCACTAAAAGCTATCTAGCACAGTGTGAACACCTCCGATATGTGACACTCTACTTTAGAGATGGGCGCGGCGTACCTTCGCTCCGTTACAGAAATCGCGCCGAAATCACCGTTCTTATGTGTGAACAAAAGCCTTACGCGGTACGGGTTTCGTGCCTGCGCAAAAGCTATAAGGTGTGTAGAGTGAAAATAGCCTGAATAAATAAGATGATTTCAAAGACTATATATCAAACGTGAAATGCTGCACTCTGTTTACAAATAAACTCATGCCGCGAAATAGTAAGGAAAAATGCCAAGCACTCTTTTAAAAATTTAAGCCCGAACTAACGACGTGGGAGAGAAGTCCTTGGTGAAACAACTTCAATATCTTCGTCATAGAACTTCGAGCTCCCTCGCGGTGAAAACTGTATTTTAAGAGATTTAGTAAAAAAAAAATTGTCGAGCGCTGACACTTAATTAAGGAAAAAATCTAAGAGATGAATCTTCGTAGAAACGTGCAAAATTGCAAGGACAATATGGGTCATTTTCTTTTGGCACTTTTACCAAACCCCCGCAGATAATATGAACAAACAATGTGTTTTGAGTCTTTTCGATGTTTGCTGATGCCAGTTAGATCATCATACGTATAAGCCTGACTTAAAATCTCCTGAAAAGTGCTTTTTCATCAAGAATAACAAGTTCTCTTTTAGCCTGTGTAAAAGAGCAAGTTTCGTTTGGGGCAGTTTCCATCATCGCGTAAAACTTGCTCGCAGGCTATCACCTCGCTGCATCATAACATACGGCGAGGGAAGTTTCCTTTGTACAAATTAAAGACTAACTTGTTAGGAGTTAGAGTTACACTGTAAGCTTATATTAAATTACTATGTCATTGTCTTCATCTGTTCGATTTTTTCGTGGTAAAGGTTGTGAAATTCTTTGGCCAAGTAGTAAAATGGGGCTTCGACATTCTCCTGGTCTTTCTGGGGAGAAAAATGGAATTTAACAATAAAAACCCCAGAAATAGGCAAAAAGGTGAAGTTAGCCCACTTGGAAGAGAACCCGCTAGTCAGCAGAGGGTAATGTTGCAGACTGTACTACAGATGGTTCAACCTTCGTATGGCTTTAGTGACCAAGTAGAAATTACGGTTACATCTTAGTAGGAGAGATATAAAGACAGTTCAAACAAGTCATGGACGCTTAAAAGTCTGTGTCATAACGAAGGCAGGAGAGTTAACTCACTTTTCGGTACTGGAATATCACAAAACCCACAAAACACATTGCAGTGAAACAAAACCTTAAGATAATGGTTAAGTTTTGTTTAAAGATACTCTTCTTTGTCTAAAATATAAGTGCCTGTCTTTGGTTTTCCTGACCAAGATGAAAGTGGGTTGCAACTCGAAAAAATTCTGCCGACGTTTCGCAAGTTCTATTTTCGTTGTCGAAAAATTACAAAAACACTGATCACGTTTTCTTAGTGTTTTCCCTTTAAGAAGATCGCTTGAAATTTCTCTCTTTTCACTTTCATTTGAAACTTCGATGATTGCGGCGCTATCCTTGCTCCCATAAACAGGGTTCGTATTTTTGGATCCAAAATTCAAGACTTTTTCCAGACTTTGTTCCAAAAGTATAATATCTCTTTTCAGAAGCAAGGTTATCCAATAGGTGATCAAAAGAGATCTTAAAAAAGGCGGCAACAAAGCTTCTTTCGTGGTGCGCGGCAAACATACGGACGAGATTGAATACGATTTGACCGAAACGAAAAAAAATCACTTATAAAAAAAGCACTTGTAGCTTTAAATAAACCATTTTTTCTACTCTTCATCTCTATTTTCCAGACTTTTTCCAGGCCTGGAAAATTGCTGGGTAAATTTCAAGACTTTTTCAAGAATTCAAGACTATGTACGAACCCTGAATAAAATAGACACTTATAAAAAAAGCACTTGTAGCTTTAAATAAACCATTTTTCCCACTCTTTATCTCTATTTTCCAGACTTTTTCCAGGTCTGGAAAATTGCTGAGCAAATTTCAAGACTTTCTCAAGAATTCAAGATTCAGTACGAACCCTGCATAAAATAGACAGGTGAAATTGATACTTACTGCAGAACATTCAAAGTATTCCAGTCCTTTAGAGCTGGCTTGATCACGCCCTTGTTTTGTAGATATTGCTCTTCTTTGCTTGAGGTCTGTCTTTATGGCCACCAAAGCCCCTTCAATAAGAATTAAAAGAAGTTTGTTATAAAATAATAAGCATTATATAATGAAATGCCTTCCTAATTACTTCAACCAATCAGAAGCACTAGCCTGACCTGGGTAGTGTCGCATGCATCGTCAGTATGGAATTTCTGCGCTTGTTCCTCAGGCGTCATCTACGGAGGGGGTGTTGACAGTGGTGGTGTCACAAAATGTCGCCTAACTTTCACATGGTGCTGTTCTTAGCCAACATTTTAAAATAATAATTAAACTATCAGATTTTTCTTGAATATTTCCTGTTACTGTCACTTCCATGAGTGAGAAAAGTTGTAGACAGAGAAACAGAGTTACTTTTATTTGCGATCTTACCAGGTAATGATTGATTTGGCCTCTTTGCTCGGCACCTCTCAAACCACTTGTTACAGGCATTGAATGATTGCTCATTTGTAACATCGTAAGCTACAAGGAACATGTTTGGCTGTGTCCACTGTAAACCACAACAGTATTGTAAATTACTTTAATTATTTATACATGATAACAAAAATAGAAGTTATATCACCAGACTCCAGTTGTTCAAAGGGTCGATAGCACTATCCACCAAATATAAAATCACTATATTTCAATGGATAAGTATTTGGGAAACCAATAATAAAAATTGAAATATTCCACTGGATAAAAATTTATCCCCTGGATAGCCCTATCCACTATCAAACAACGTGAACTAGATCTTCGACAGTCCATTATGAGAGCAATTATAAGTTTTTGTCTTTTAATACTTAAAAATTATCATTTAAAGTTGATATTAATATACTTTAATATTCTGTATGTTTTTCTTTAAAAGTTTCTAAAACAACCTATAAGGAGAATTTGTTTAACAATCATGCCAAAGTTATTCCCATGACCTTTATATTTAATTTCAGCAAATACAGGGTGTTTCAAATGTTTGTTCTAAAAATATAGGAGGCCATTTCTGGTAATTAAAATGTCAGCTGGCTACTCAATGTAAAATGAATAAGGAATAACATACTTAATTTTACAAAAGGTAGTTTTTAGCCTGCGAAAACATGTTTCTCCTTGCTCTTCATCACTGGGGACGTTTCGCACAGAGGAACGTCTGCGACTCAGCGACAGAAATTCCATACTGATGACGTAAAATCTGTCCGGAATTCGGTCAGAAGCGCTGATTTGTTGACGGAGCAGTTACATTGTTTTAGCTATTGTTCATGAAAGACAGACAAAAGACAAAACGCCACACAGGCCAAATGTAAACACCAAGAATCTCTAACAAAACAGTCAATATTTTTGGAATAATAATATTGCATCTTCTCTAGAAGAAGCATTTGAGTCTTGCTGGAGCTTGTTGGCAGATGAACACAACATTAATTTCACCAAAATCGACCAGAAGACACGCAAAATTGGACAAAGTTATATTTGGAACCCCATGACTACCAGATTTGGATGGATGTTTTCGCAGGCTAGGTAGTTTTAGTAATCAATGAAATTTAAGCAAAGAAAAAATTGGAATACACTTTTGAAACACCCTGTGTAATGTGAAAAGAAGATGGATACTGATTTTATTATTTGCATTTTAAAAAGTGGCACTTACATGCTGTTGTACAATGTCTGCAAACATTTCCTTTCCTGCTGAATCATAAATGTACAGTTCCTGAAAATAAAGACAGGATTTAAAAATAATTTTGGACCAAACTAACCTCTCTATATTCTAATACAAACTGGAATTAACCAATCTGCAATCAAGCCAAACTTGAGCAGGTTTCCTCACCAAAAGGAATTTTATTTACCAGGCAAACCTGTTTTGGGGTTAGAAACATGGCTCGAAAAGAACTTGAATTCCAGCTTGTCCTTTGGGCCAGCAGCTCTCGCATTTTGCTTGCCCAATGCCACAAAGAATCTAATTTAATTTAATTCCACTTTATAACAGAAGTTACCGAACAACTGAATGGAAACAGATTGATTTGATCAAAAATGTTCTTTGAAAAACACATCAAAAGTATATGATAATAGACTGCTAGCAGTCTGCCTTTTTCTCTTTATAGTGACAGTGAGTGCATTAGAAGGACAGTAGAGAACTTTTTTTTATTCTTTTTGCTTTCTTTCTCCTTGGGCTTCCGCCCTCTTTCTCATGGCTTGCACATGTTGCCGTGGTAGCTTTGAAGAAAATAGGAGACTGCTCACAGTCTAAGTTGCTAGAGATGATGAAAACTTACAACACTGTCCGAGGTCTCAGGGATATTGACTGACTTTACACAAACTTCAACTCCGGTTGTCTAAAATAATACAAGAACAGCTATTCATTAGTAAAATCATATGTCCATATAAAGCAAAGAATGCAATGAAGGACAATTTTGATCATTGCAACATTATTATGTCACACAATCATGTGACTTAGGTAAGCCAATCATGTGAGATTATTTTCAATTTACTTTTCTTGTAAGTTGTTGAAGCATTACGACTCTGCACTACAGTAAACTCTTGAAATTCCAGCTGCCTTTTGTGTCAGTTAACCCATTCGCCCCTGAACCGCCCATAACCGCCCGTGCGGATCCAGGTCCTTTCTACCCTTTGTGACGTCATCAGTTTTAACGGTCAAGGACAACTTTCTTCGCTAACTTGTGCAGAGTGAAGAGATCTTTCAAACCACACCAGAATGAGCACAATTCAGTCAAGGACACCGGAGAAAGAAGCAAAAAACCACGTGACAAGGACCTGAAAATCTCCATGAAAATCTTGTTCCATTACCCACCTACCTTTCCTTTCACCTAATCCTAAGATCCTAAAAGCTTTCCTAAAAACTCTTCCCACCAAAATGAAGCCTACTAAATGCCCAGCAAGAGAAAAAAAAAATGAGGCAAGAAAAGCGAAAAAAGAAGGGAGGAGAGAAAGCGAAAAGTAAAAGTCAAGACTGCTGTGTCACTTTTAAACCCAAAAACTATCTCAAAATTTTGCTTTCTGCGCATGCCCCAACTTCGCAAGCTGATATTTTGCATCTGGATCAGAAGGCCGCGAAGTGTACGACCTGTAAACCGGTTTGTGGTAAGTTTTAGCTCTTTATAGTACGACAGTGACCAGAAAACCACTCGACTAGCTTCAAAACGCGTTTTTCGGCAAAATCTCCAGGAGCGAATGGGTTAATAAAGTTGAATCCTAACACTGATGATTAAGGCAATTACAATCTTTGAATAAAACCAAAGTTTGTACATAAGCTGGTTTCTATATAACCATCCATCATCCTAGTTGGGGTAATCATACAAGATAATACAGGGTGATGACATGGAGATCAGCCTATGTATAGACTTCAGTTTTATGCTGGAGACCGCGATCGCTTTAACCGTTAAAGTAACTGCAGTATACCTGGCCACTTAAAGGGTGGACACAAAAAAAACATGGCTACTTGGGTACATCACTGTGTGGCATTAAATGCTGTGGTGGGCTTAAATCAGGTGGTATATACGTGGTGGCTACGTGGCTTTGAGGTTATGTTGGTTAATGTGGCTATGTGGCTACATGGCCTCATAGCTCTGTGACTACGTGGCTATGTGGCTAAGCTGCTGCATGGTTTCATGGTTAAGTGGCATGTAGCACATATCCACTGTTTTAAAAGTATAGCCTTTTTTGAGTGGCCAGTTTCTGCAATTTGATTGGCTTAGAGCAGTGGTATTTCAGCTTAATTTGAAAAACCTACATGTGAAAATTACAAACCTTTTGTGGGTAATAGAATAAACAAATAATATCATGATTTGTACGTGATATTTGGCATAAATACCTCTTATGATATTTCAAAATTGTATCAAATTTCACTCGCCTAACGGCCCGTGAAATTTCGTATAACAATTTTGAGATATCACTCGTGGTATTTATGCCAAATATCACTACCCCTTATTATCCTGTGTGATTCCTCTATTCTGTAATTGAAATAACTGCCAACTCAAGCATTAACAGTGGAAATATAAAACACTGCCTGCTTTGACCCCAATTACTTTATACATGTACCTTTTGCAGAATAAATTGGGGTTTGAGAACATACCATAGTGTAGTTTTTAGGAAAATGCGTTCCATCACTATGGAAGGCTTGTGTTAATGCACTCTTTCCCACACCAGGGTCACCTACGGGACAAAATCAACGGGCTTTTTACAACGTACAAAAAACAAACAGAACTTATTCCGCTCCGAAAAAGCGTCATTACAACTCCTGAGTAACAAAATTTACAGCTTTAGCAGAGACGAGTATCAAACCTAAATTCATATAAATAATGAAGGATTTCTCGAAGTGAGGAACATTTTACACCTATATTTCTTACCAGCAAGAATTACTTGAGCCCGAAGAACAACCATCTTTTTTGTGAGCCAGCTGTATGTTTGGTTAGCGTTCAGCTGGTTGCCACGACGACGACGTTCTGTGTCGCCAACAAGAGAAGCCATATCGATTTGTGGAGATGGAAGCTTCCTTATCTATTATTTGCCGTGAATTTGTGTCGTTTTAAAATCATTTATGAACCAATTCCTGCTTTAAAGAAGTCTCCGTCAATGGCAAGCATTTATTTGCCTCCGATTGCCCGCAAGAAGAAGGTAGACGGCTGCCCGCGGTAGGTTTTGACTCTTAAATATTTAATTTAATCATGACCAATCTATGGATTCGCAAGACAAACAAAAATGTTTGTGGTCAGATAGACAGTTATTCTTCTCTAATTAAAGTGTGTTTCAAGTCAAATATAAAGGTAACCACAGAATCGTACTGAAAACGCACTGAAAACTGTACAACAATTCAGAACAAATGCGTTTTCACACGTAGGCTTCGATGAAACATAGTTAAGCTTTAACTTCTGATTTTGGTTTTCTGAAAGAGAGTTTAATTTAGGATAGTAGCTGTGTGTTGAATGCACAGCATGATTAATAGTCAAGTGTATGGATGGCTAAAATTCACTGACCAATGAATTTGTTTCAGGTCTAGTGAAGGTTCTTGGTTGAACTTGTTTTCTCTAAATAACGGGTACTTATAGATACAAATCAGCAGTGCAGTGACTGAAGTGACTTATCAGAGAACTTGATGATTCATTTAAATGTATCCCCTGATCATAAAATTCCATTTCATATTTTCAGGCATGACACCTTCAGAGTTTTTGCTGATCTTCAAGATGACAGTCCATTGTCGAGTAAAACAAGTTATGATTCACATTATATAGGACACACATTTAAACCAGCTCAGCAAAGTGTTATGTCTGGACAGAACAAACCCCACCCTACTAATGTGACATTTCTGCGTCAGAATCCACGATTTATTTGTGAGCCAATCTGCTATGTAAAAACGTCTATGAAACCTCCAGTTATTTACCCATCCTGGTGGCCTGATGAAGTGCCAGAGCAACAAACTAAGGTACCTGAACGCAGCTCTGATTCAACGTCACGCACAGATTACCCTCCTCCACCTATTCCTCATGATCAAATCACACGATATAGCAGTAATCTAGCTATGCAAGTAACACCAGCTGGGATTTTTCATCAGGGACCTCATAAGTCAGGTGTGCATACACCAAAGATAGTGGAGAAGATCTCTTACGAACATCAGTTTAATTCGAGGTTGGACCCCAGTCACCCTGTAAGAGGTCGCCGACATGGGAGCTTTATATGGAAAGTGATCTCTGATGTTGGACGACCAGGCAGAAAAAACAGCAAACCTGTTGAATATGCATATATTAAGGTTGACCCTAGTGAAAGTACAGTAACATCTGAAGTTACCTGTGCTGAAAATGCTGATCAGCAAAGACAAACAAAGGACTTAATGCCTGAATCTGAGGAAACACAGTCAACTTCAAATGAGGGTTGATCTCTTGACAAATGTATGATATACGTGCTATTGTCAAAGTATGAAATACATTTGGCAATAATAATATTATTTTTTTTGGAATTTTTACAAATTTGCACAGTTGATGTTTGTGGCTTAACATATTTTGTATAGTGTACCTTAAGACCATTTTGAATCCTAATGAAAGCACACGAACACCTAAACTAAACCATATTATTTTCAAGCAATTGAGGAGGGATTTTATTTTTTATATTAAATTCAAACTTTTAGTGTAATATAAAGTTGAGGTGAAAACAGAATATATAATAAATCTTGCATTTTAAGTGCAGAATTTGAGATTCTCACAAATGAACGGTTTGTTTCTGCTTTGTTTGTTACCACAAGTCTTGTCAGGAGGAGTGAACAGGCTCGTTTTCCCAAAGAGTAATCAAGCCCATCCCAAAGCTCAAAGATTTTTAGAGGCGCATATAATTTTCCAAAACATTGCTATAAACACGCCTGGGGGCGGGGGGGGGTATTACTTATAACGCTCAGGGGTAGGCTGTTCTAGTTCCTAATGGTATTAGGGAAAAAAGAGTAGAAGTGATACTTTGTTTTAGACGCCGGGACTATACGAGAGTCTGTGCGTATGCCTGCTGGGTCGGCCGGCCGGCCGGCTCGCGATATTTCTGTTGGTCTATCACAACTAAGTTACAGTGCATTTTATGCAGCATTGTTAGTCTAGCTCTTTTTCTACGTAGTTCTTAAGTTTCCCAATCAAGTTGTTTCAACATTTCGGTAAAAGTGGCACACCTTTCGTAATAATTTAGGACATAGCGTGCTGCTCTACGTTGCACCATTTCAACTCTGTTCCTGTTTTGTTTGGTATTCGAGTTAAGTTCTGCTAAAGAGAGAATTTCCTGTCTGATTGACCAAGCCTCAGTCATCCTTCGCTCCCTGTCCATTTTCGTATACTCCAACATTAGCATTAAGTCCACCAATCACAAGCCCTCTCTGCGGAAATCAACAGTCGCGAAAGCAGCGTCTTTTACTTTGAAAAACTAATGAATGAAAGAAAAAAGAAAAAAATATGTGGCGAGAATAGCGTCTTGATTCTTTGCGCAGATTGTAATCTTTCAACTATCGCATTTTTTCCCATTTGTTTAGTTGTTCTTTTTGTTTGTTTCCTTAAGTTTCTTTTTTGTGTTTATCATTCTTAGACATTTTTGAAGGTACGGGCAGAGAACATGCACTTTACGAAATTGGTTACTCGGACTGGTTAAAAAAGAGACGGTGAGAATTATTTTTTAGCCAATATCATCGTGAAATCAGGTGCATCCGTGTACGTCGGTACTGATAGCTCATAAGTTTTTTTTTTTTTTTGAAGTTCAATGAAGATTCATTCCGATCCAAACGTATATACTATATATGAATACCACGAAAAATGCTACTTCTTGTTTTTTTTTTTTTTCTAAAAGGTCACCAAGATTTTAAGAAAAATTGTCACGTGACATATCACGTGACTTTCTAAAACGATTTCATATCGAGAAGAGGTCTTTCTTTTTACTAAATTTCCAATCACACAGAGTCTTTCCTAGCCTAACTAAACGCATAAGACCCGGGCATTACTTGAGATCTTTCAATTTCTGAAGTCTAAACAATACAGTAATGCTATGAAGTCGTTAACTATTTCTTTATTATAGCTACGCTTTTCTTTTAGATATTTTGGGGTCCAAGCACGTCGTAGATGGTTTCGTTTTTGCGGGTCTCATTGATCTCTTTACTTCTGTCTTAGTAAAGACAGATGAACCATGAATGTCGCACCAAACGGATCCACTTTAAAATGCTCTCATAAATATTTCATGCCCAATCTAAGGCAGAAAATGAAACGAAAATTATAGCTCTGTTTTTGTGTGCACCTCAATAATATCAGCGGAATATGATGAAGCAAAGCATCCAAATATCAACTGGCCCTCAATATTCTTCTATAGTTTTCATTCGATTTCATCCTATTTTGTTTTGACTTTTTAGTAATTGACAGATAAGTCAATATTATTTGTGAAGGAAAATTGAGGAGTTGTTTATAATTTCCAACAGCAGGTGGGTATTGCGTTGTTTGCTCGACGAATTAGCTTGGCCTTCTTGCGACCTTTTTCTTGAGTATGATTGAACGTAGAATCCATCCAGGCTCAACAGATCGAATTTGTTTTCTCCAACAACTAGCTAAGAAAAATGTTTAAAATTCTTGCTACGTTTCTCAGTAAAAATGCGAGTTCTTAAGTAACCTTGTGCGCGCAAAATCTGTTTATTCTTAGAGAGATTTATATTATTTTAGAGGATTGTTTTACAAACATTCAATATTGTCAAGAGCCATTATGGCTCTTGATATTGTCTTGAAGAGAGAATGAGGGAGGCGTTGGTTATCTTTTGCGGGTGGCTTCATATTGGATTATTTGTAGAATATGAACGTTGTTGACCGTATTAAGTAGATTACGAACTATACAGAATGCGTAGCTGATATATTTGATCATAAATAGTCGCATCTAAGTTGCCGCCAAGACTGGACAAAAGGATAATCGTATTCAGTACCAAATTTAACTTGAATATGAAAACCCTTTTAAAAGACACGTTGTATTAAATATATTGAACGTATTTACAGGTTGATGACAAATACTAAGCTAAGCCCAAGAACAGAAAAGTCGCCTGAGAGTGTCTTTCACAGCTTGCCTTACTTCTCTGATCTTCCAACAGTACAACAAAGGGTTCAAGGACGAATTTAACAACACTAAAGTAACTGTAAATTGCCCGGCCAAGTAAACTGATGAAGTCGACCCGTTTTGACGTATTAAAGATTCGGCTATAAAATGAGGCAGATAACAAATAATCAATGCTGCCTGCACCCAAAGTGCGCTGTGGACTCCTTTTCTGTAGCGATCTATGTTAAGTGGAATAACTTGGCTTGGTTGACTTTGAGAGGCGTGTCCATGGACATGAATCTTGTAATAACGCAGCGAGTGAAAAATTTTTGTGTAAGATAAAATTGAGGTTATTATACAAAGAGACGCAATTATGAAAACACAAACATAGCTGACTAAACCAGCGAGGGACAAAACCCAAATAACAGCTACAGTTATATAAGATCTCTTTCGAGTCACAGCCCTCTGGTACTTGAACCACAACAACAACGCGAGAAGTCTGTCCACGCTTATTGCAGTCAATATTATCAATACAAGAAACTAGGCACAACATACTGCCTGTGATAGAAACGGCCAAGAATGCGTAATAGCAAGTACTCCATGATTCGTACACCACAGATATCCAATAAACCACAGCCAGGGGTTGTACAATGATACCAACACAGAGATCAGTTATCGCTAGGTTACGATACAGTAGTTTGGACGGCGGCTTAAGCGAGGCCGATTCCTTACGTAGGGCTAGCAGGATCAGAGCATTCCATAAAAATGCGGTGATGGATAGGAAAATATTCAGTGTTACCAAAAAGATAAGGTGACGGTGAAATTCCGCTGTGATTTCTGCTGAACAATGCGGAACTTTGCTCATTTTCTGGTTTCAGGATGAAAAAAATCGCTTAATAATTCTGCCATCCCAATGATCTGCAAAACCTCGATGCAAGTGCGTAAAAATGAACTGTTTCAGTTAAAACGTTTCCCTTTTTACGCCCAACAGTTGGCCAATATTCCATCTGTCAAACTGACACAGCTGGTGTTGTGAGTGTTATAATTCACGCAACGGAAGTCTCGAGGAAGTCATTTTCATAAGTCCAATAAAAGGAGATTTGCTAAAACTCTTGTACCGCGACATGCAGCAAAGCAACACACGTCGATCCTCGACAAAAAAATTTCTCTAACTGGCTATATCAGACTCTAGATTTACAATTCTCAATGTTTGACAACGGAACAAAACGTTTTCTTCTTTTTCGAGTAATTTGCTCATTAAATCAGATCTGATATTCCGAATGTTTAATTGATATACCGCGAATGTTATGAGACACAGCTAGACACGCAACAAAAGTCGTACTCAAAAATCATAAGGTATGTACAATGCATATGACTTGGGATAATGCATAGTAACTATGAAACACCACTGTGAAGTTTCTTGGCAGCGTGCTTAGTGTGCACGGCAATGTTTGCGGCTCACTCATGACGTAATATATAGATTTAGCCAAGCCTAAAAGCGGAGCTCATTTTACAATCTAAGCCTTTCACTAAGATCAGTATATAATTTAAAACAGTATGGCTAAGTCAATCACTAAGTGGACCCACCCTCATCGGCAATATCAAAAGAATCCTACGACAGAGGACTCCTTTATTATTTCACTGTTCATCTGCTTCAGAGAAGAATATATGCATCTTCCCCAATGTTAGAACTTTCCGGTTGCAGCGGTCATTTCGAAAATGTAATAGCTTTTTTTGAAGAGTTTTCGCTACAAAAAACCTTTAATCCCTTGTATATCATTTAGCAATTAATCCAGTTTCGAATTAAAAATTACCGCTGAATACAAACGTTAACGACACATTCATACAGGGTTAGCCTCGACGTAAAGTAAAATATTCAGAAATTCTGGCAAGTAAGTGTTTGAAATTTGAATATGCACAATAGACAGAGTAATAAACAGGTCTTTTTCTCGTTGGAATTTGTGAATATATTACTTCAGATGAAGGCTAAGGCTGTAAAAAATGTGTCTTCACTTCTTTAATTCAGCGGTCATAGCGAACTCGAAAACGGACTATTGACTGATCTTCTAGGACAGTTTTAATTTTTAATTAGTCTCGCGTGCGTAAGCAGCGAGACTCATAATCTGCAAGCCGTTTTTTTTTTCTTCGTATTTAGTACACAAAACGACGGTTGTGGTCCCAGGCGTTCCTAGCGGCGACCATGGAAACTGGGAATAAGAATCGTGACGACTTTCATTGTATGCAGATGAGGCTCGTGATGAGCATGTGAGTTATTTTCGGCGATGATCGAGGTGATGCGCATAGTTGATCACGTTCTAGTATGGCTTTTTGACAATGATGTAATATTTTCCCCGAAGCACTTTGGATTTTCGTGTATTCATACACGCGTAGCTGGACGTGAATATATCATAGCGGAGGAAATCCTGTTTCGTGCTGTATTTAGGCATTACGTTTC